CAATGCCACAAAAAAGCCCGATTACAATATCCCCAACAACACCTTAACACGCCTCACACCTCTGGCACACTGTAATTTGGAGTGACAAGACCAAAAGAGAGCTTTATGGTCACAGCCATAAGCGCTATGTTTGGAGAGGGGTCAACAAAGCCAATAATGAAAGAATACCATTCTTACTGTGAAGCATGGTAATGGATCACTGATGTTTTGGGGGGGGGTGAGCTCTGAAGGCACGGGGAATCTTGTGAAATTTGATAGCAAGATGAATGCAGCATGTTATCAGAAAATACTGACAGACAATTTGTATTCTCTGCACGAAGGCAGCGCATGGGAAGCTCTTGGACTTTCCAGCATGACAATGATCCTAAGCACAAGACCAAGACCCTCCAGTGGTTACAGCAGAAAAAAGTGGACTGGCCATCACATTCTCCTGACTTTAATATCATTGAGCCACTCTGGGGAGAACTCAAATGTGCGGTTCATGCAAGAAGACCAAAGACTTTGCATGACCTGGTGGCAATTTGCCAAGACGAATGGACAACTATATCACCTGCAAGAATTAGGGACCTCATAGAAGACTATTACAAAAGACTGCACGCTGTCATTGATGCTAATACACAGTATTAAGAACTAGGAGTATGCAGACTTTTGTACAGGGATCATTTCAATATTTTTTGTTGCCGGTTTTGTTTTATGATTGTGTTCTGTTATAACCTACAGTTGACTATGAATCCCATAAGAAATACAAGAAATGGGTTTTGCCTGCTCACTCATGTATTCTTTAAAAATGGTACATATATTACCAGTTCTCCAAGGGTATGCAAACTTTTGAGCACAACTGTATTTTAAGGACTCAATTTGCACGAACGCTACATTACTCTACTGTGTTTTCGCCCCTTCCTCCACTTCAGGGTGATGGAGTACATAATCTGAGGCTATCTCCACTTCTTCTGTTCCAAGCTTCAAGTGTCTCAATAATCTAAAAAGCTCAGCAGGCTAGTTACTTTATTCTTGATAATGGTTTTTGTTGTTGTTCTGATGCATTGCCTGTTTTCCTTTATGTTGTATGTAAAAATGGGTATCTTCTCTTGAAATGTAAGTGTCAGAATGATTTTTCTATGATAATATAGATATTTCTGATATCTGTCATACTCCTGAATAAATCTTTAAACAAAAAAAAAAATCTATTGAAACCTGCACTTTTTTTAAAATGAAAAAAGAGAAGACTCTATTTGCATATAAAATACTTCAGTAAGCTTTAGAGCTTTAAGCGTCTGGCGTGTCAATTTAACTGTCATTGGAGCCAGTGCTACTGTAAGGTGAGCTAGGTATTCATCTGGAATGCTACCTCTGAAGGGGTGCCCTGCTGTTCGATGGAATGATAGGGAGGTCAAAAGATCTCACTGACTTGCCCTGCATTCCCTGTAATAGTGATAACACGTAATCTGCACCTTGGCCAAAAAAAAAATTAAATATTTTTTCAACTAATTGTAATAGTAGGGTGTGAGAAGGCAAGAAACACAGTCTCTCCATACACAATGCACAGTCATCCTACATATATCTTTGCCATACATACACAACACACACACACAAACAGCCACCCCAAAACAATGCCACCCTATGCACAATACACACAATTTACCACAGATAGCCACACATACACCCCCCCCCCACACACACACACACACATAGCCTCACACAAAAACACAGGCAACTCCCCCACACACACAACATACATCCTCTTCAAAACCTGTGCATCACACATAGCCTTACCATACACAACTTTCAACACACACACAGGGGTGCTTAGAGGAAATAGAGTTGCTTTATGTGACATATTTGTTTTATGCAAGGACATTACACTAAGCCCAAATCAAATAGTTAATGGACCTTGAGACACACAATATGATATATATATATAAATACACATTTCAGAAGTAGCCCTAAAATAACATTTTAGCTACTGAGGTGAGCGATATAAATTCTATTTAAGTAGGGCAGTGGTGACCAATGCACCCATCATTTACCCCAAAAGGTCTATATCAAAAGACAGGGCTGGGGAAATTATTTGACCCTGGGTCACTAGCATACAAGGGTTGTGGGCTACATCCAAGCAATACCATGCTGTCTGCTCTTTAAAAGCTATATGAGGTGAATTGGGATGTTGGTAGAGAGGCAGCAGGGAGTAGGCACTGTGTGAGTTTGTGCGTAGCAATCTCAATCCTCTCCAGGCCTGGGAGATATTTCCTGGTGGCACGCTGTATCTGGGGCAAACTAGGCTGTCTGATTGTGATGAGTATGTATGGTGTCCCTGGAGATGTTTATTTTGGTTGCTGGGTGAAAAGAAAGGCTCATTAAAACCGTGTGGGTTGGCTACAGAAAGAACACAAACTCTGCATCTCTTTGGCATTCACAGATCCCTGCGAATGCTCCCTAACAATGCAGGGATCTTACTGTAGGAGATTGTAGGGACATACAATGTAACACATTGCAACTCACCAGCCCCCAACTGTCCAATCCATATATCGCATGCTGTGTGTGCAAAGCACCATCCACAGAGACTGTGGATCCCCCAGGCCCAGTCTGGAAAACAAAAATACATTTAATCTTCATTAATTAGTCTGTTCAGCATCTCTTACATGTGTGACAGTTGTTCTCACCCCTGCTTTCTCTCTTGTTCTTACAGGTGTTTTCTCCACTTGCTAATCTCTTCCCACAGTGACCTGGAGTTCCTAAAATATAATAGGAGAATAGAGAGGACAACAGCTGTGCTGATCTTTAACTGTACAAGATGGCTGTGCAAATAAATTCATTTGTGGGGGAGTTGGACGGTGTGAAATGTGTATACATATTGAGTACCCAAATTGTAGCAATTAAATAGGGAGACGTTTTACTAGCGCTGCAATTGTGTGACTGCAACATCCTTAAAGAGATGCAAAAAAGATGCAATACAAACAGAATCAGGGGCTTCCCCAGGTTACCTGGCACCTCGGCGCAAATGTATACAGCCCTCTCTCCAATTTTGTAGATTTTATAGACACATGCTCATATTCATATAAACACAAACATTCATATACACCTACTCAAATTGATATACACACGAATATTCACATACACACTCTCGTTAATACACTTATTCACATTTTTTTTTTTTTAGACTTATTTCTGGTGTCTCATGGATGGCTGATGGGATCATTTTATGCAATGATTGCACAGCTCCCTGCAACTCTGTACAGATGTCAGGTCTGGGGTGATGTCACCTTCCAGCTGTGCAACCAGAAAACAGAATTATTCCACCAACCAACCTGTCTGCTAAATGGGATCTACAGAGCAGGCGGCACTGCCACCGCTAGGCAGGGGCCTACTCTGCCAAAAGGGTGGTTCTCTGTGCACCACCTGCTGCCTTTCAGCATCCTAAAATCCTAACTGATACGCCCTGGCTAATCTACCAGCTGTGTATTTCAAACTTTAGTTAATGCACCTAATGGTTACTTATTTGCATTTTATTATAACAAAATTATAATGTTAAAAATGAATAAAATCAAGCCTGTATACCAGCATGTGCACTTGGCATATTTTTTTTGTAATGTCATGTAATGGGGTATTTTCCCCATGATGGCATGTGAGCACATGTGCTTCATTCAGTCTGCCAGTTATGACATTCTGATATTACAGTGATCTATATAATAAAGCCTTGTATATATTATTTATTTTAAAAAACAATGGTTTTAAAAGAAAGGCTCAACCCCAGTCCCCAGTGTTAATTGTTTTGAATTAGCCACTGAAAAATTAGTATTTCATAAAAATAGAATGTTTGAAATTCTCATTTTGACCCAGTCAGGAGATATACAGAGAAAAAATAGGGACTACTTTGTCTCTGTATATTTCCTCCACCGGACTTTCTTAGACTCTGGGTGGAGTAACAGTGCCAATCCCAGCGGCCGTCAACAGTAACGGCTGTAACGGGAATTGTCTCTGTCTGTGGAGCATACCGAGATCTCATAGACCTCAGGGCTGTACTTTCATGCATGTAAGACGGTGACAGTACCACTTTAACTACAATTCAATTCATATTTAAAGGGTTACTCCAAATATCATTATGACTACAGCCCGCAGTAGAGGTTATGACACCAGGACTACCCTGGCCCAGCTCCCAGTGATGGAGCAAAGTATTTAACAAAGTTTTAACCCCTTATGTGGGTCCGTGCCAGGCTCTGATGCTCCCGGGTAGTTCACTGACGCACTTTTGCTTCTGCAGAGCTGCAGAAGCCGTGGCCGCCACGTGCGTCAGCTGACCACTGTCAGCCAAAGAATACAATGAGGTGCAATTAAAATTGCACAGAATTGACACTCAATGATTCTGCCAGGAGAACGTTATACTTCCAGGAGCAGAGGGGTTAAACTATGTGTGCGCAGTATTTCATTGCGAAACGCTGCACATACAAACTTCAGGCACCATGACCACTTCACATCACAGACATGGTCAAGACGCTTGAAGTAACCATTTATTAATTCTGTTACAGAGTGATTCGCTAAAATGTGAATTCAAAGTCACTTTTCACATTTTTAGGCCACGATAACCAATTTGGAAAAATTCTCCAGTTGCTATTCTTTAATTTTGGACTATTTGAGCCTAAATTTTTTAAATCAATTTTGAATTCCTGACAGAGAATGAATTCCCTATAAAAACAGGTTTATTTGCTTTGGGAATGATGCAGAATCAGAACTGGCATTTGCATTGTACAAAACAGTTGTCTCCAACTGAGTTAATTTTGGTCCTGACCCAGCACAACCCGCCATTTAGTGAATAAGCCCCCTCCCTGCCACCCTCCTCCCTCAGCTTGTGTAACTAGGGCTCTGAGGGGAGAGGGGGGGAGGCCTCTAACAACAACGCCGACTGTTACTAAGCAGCCGTCAGCGGTTGTCCCCTCCAGCCAATCAGCGCCGCTGTTTCTCGCTGTCACGCTCAGCCCGCTTGGTAGGCGTGGCTTCAATCTCCCCTCCAGCCAATCAGCGCCGCTGTTTCTCGCCGTCGCTCTCAGCCCGCCCTTGCTGGGCGTGGCCTCCCCTCCTCTCGAGCTCGCTCCGTGTGGAAAAGACGGTTTCGGGTGCAAAAGTCGCTCTTATGTTGTTGCTCCGGCCGTTAGACATGCCCAGTGAGGCAGCAGCCGCCTGCCGTGCCGCGACCGTCACCGAGCTCCGGGACTCCCCGTCACTCCCGGGTGCTGTGAGGAGCGGTCTCCAGCCGCCGGCGCCCTTGCCCGCCTCAGACTGTCCGTTGGCCCCGCGCGCTGTGTCCGGACGGCGGCCGGGGAGCCCCCAGTGAAGGCCGCAGCGATGTGGGAGTCCAAGCGGGTGCGGCTGCTGTGCATGCTGGGCCTGACCTTCGTGTTCTTCGTGGTGGAGGTGGTGGTGAGCCGCATCACGGGCTCGCTGGCCATGCTCTCCGACTCCTTCCACATGCTGTCCGATGTCATCGCGCTTCTGGTCGGCCTGATCGCCGTGCGCTTCGCCCAGAAGACCCGCTCCACCGACAAGAACACGTTCGGCTGGATCCGGGCCGGGGTGATGGGGGCCCTGGTCAACGCCATCTTCCTCACCGCCCTGTGCTTCACCATCGTGCTGGAGGCCGTCGAGCGCTTCACCGAGCCGCAGGCCATCGAGCAGCCCATGGTGGTGATCGGAGTGGGGGCCGGCGGGCTGCTCATTAACCTGATCGGGCTCTGCATGTTCCGGGACGGGGCCGCACACGGACACGGACACTCTCACGGCGGAGGGAGCGGAGGAGAGGCGGCGGGGGGGCACGGGCACTCGCACGGCCCCCGGAAAGCTCACAGGAACCGGGACCGCTCGGCCGGGGATGGAGCCGCCATAGACCGGGAGGAGACCAACATCTTGGTGGAGAACTGCGGGAATTCGCACGGCCTGACCGGGGACGGTGTGATCAGCAAGCACGGTGAGATACTGGAGGTCGGGGGGGGGCTAAATAGGTCATGGGGTGCGAGCCAAGGGAACGGGGGTGGTGGTAAATGGGCCGGGGTGGGTGGCTGGCGTGAGGGGGTGGCTAGATGGCTCGTGGGTGGGGATCCAAAGGGCTGCTGCAAATGGGTCAAAGTGTGCCATGGCTAAATGGATCGGATGCGGGCTAAATGGCTGGGGTGCGAGCTGGTGTGGGAGGGGGTGGGAGGTGGTAAATGGGTCAGGTGGGGGGGCTAAGGGGAGGGGGTGGCGATGGGCCGTGGGTGGATCCAAAGGGGGGGCTGCTAAAATGGGTCAAAAGGAAGTGGCTAAATGGATCGGATGGGTGGGCTAAATGGGCTCAGCAAAGGGAGCTGCTGGGAGGGAGGTGGTAGTCAGGGTGGGATCCAAGGGGGCTTGCTGTCGGCTCGTGGGGCCAAAGGAAGTGGCTAAACGGGTCGGGCAAAATTGGCTCAGTGCGGTTGGGGCTTAAAGGGTCAAAGGATACTGGGAGGGGAGAGGCTTAAAGGGTCAGGGATAGAGTGCCAGTGGTTGCCAGACAGTGGGGCTTAAAGAGTCAAAGGGCTCGGGCCAAGGGGGATTAAAGGGCCATGGGGTGCTGGTCAGATGTATTTTATTTTTT